AATACACGGTGACAATATTCATTTCATATTCCATAGCATTGTTCACATATACATATCATGTTACAATATTTCATATTGTATGAATGTCAGAAGGAAGCAACATGAATGCAACTTAAGTCTTTTCTAGACTCCTTAAAGCTCAAATGAACTCGATGTGTGAGGGAATAACTCGTGCTCTGATACCAACTGCCACAACCCAAACCCGTCCCTAAAAGTTTGGATCGTGACCGACCAATAACCTCTTGATTACTTACGGCCTCAGACAGATTACAAAGAATTTATCATAACGGGGCCTGAGCAGAAGCAATAAAATAACAGAACGCCCATTGAGTAGTGCTTAAATGCTAGGATTTTAAACATCAAGTCATATATAGAGAGTTCACATACACAGTTCATATATATACAAGCCCAAGTCATGCAGGTCTATACAAAGAGGTAAAAACTCAAAATTTACATATTAACCAAGTGTTCTATAAGAGCCACCAAGGACTTAACAAAAATGTAGCGTCAAAGAAACTCCTCAAAACACAAAAGGCTCCAATGTTGGAGGCTTAACAAAGTAGGTCCATCAAAGTTTCCTAAAGCTGACCTAGGGCTGACCTCCGAGCTGATCACCTATATAAATATATATAAATACAGAGTGACCAAGGCTCAGTGAGTAATAATAATGTAAGGAAGTTTATAAGCATGAGCATATGTCTTGAAGAATAGATATACATCATACACATGTCTGAACCATAATCATATTCCAAAACGGCCTCGGGCCCACATAAAACGAAACGGCCTTGGGCCCAACATAATACAGAACGGCCTTAGGCCCAACATATCAACAGTTGTTTTGAACATTACAGGGTAGATGGAACATCAGCATGTCTCCATCTCCCTCGGCCTTAGGGCCATTAGTCATAAACATTCCATATCAGACATAACGGCCTTGGGCCCATTATATAAAGCGGATACAGAACGACCTCGAGTCCATTTCATATGCCATTGTAATCCAATGTTCAATCCTCTCAAATTAAACATAACTTGTATAAAACATGTCAAAATACATAAGCATAACATATCGTTACACTACTATTATTCACAGTGCTTTGGTCGAGCAACGGCCCCTTCCAGCAGGTGACCTACACATGGCACACACATAATTTGATAAGCAATGCATCTTTTCATAGCTTCTTCTCTTTAATCATTCTCCCGTTTCGTTCAATTTCTATTTATCTTTAAGCATTTTGGAGGGCTTAAACATACACATTAACAGATTCAGAGAATCGAAATATGTATAAAAAGATGTAGTTTTTCTCCCTGTTTCTCGCACATGCGGAAGACCTCCACCACACATGCAGAGAGGTGTGCCGTACGTGAGGCCTCGCACATGATTTTATTTCAAAATGTTAGACTTGCCTCCCCTGTTTTCCGCACGTGCGGCTGTGAGCCCCACACGTGCGGCTCTGGGCTCTATTTGTGCAATCTGAAAATCTAACAAATCCAAGCTTTCCAAACTCATTTCTAAAGTTCAATTCAAGCAATTTCACTTCAAAAACATGATATATGAACATATTAAGCATGAAACACAAACTCAATTAGATCAAACTTCCCTTAAGTTGACATATAGAACTTTAATTCTCAGTGTTATGGTGGTGGTTCTACTGCTTATTGCTGGCCCTAAAAGAAGAAATTAATTCTCATTATAGGCAAATATTTCAAATAATTTTGTCATCTCCATATTATTTTACACAAAAAGATTTAAATTATTGTGTTGAAAAAATTAATCGACTTTAAGGCCAAATTTTTCTAATTGATGAAGAGATTCGATATTGGAAGAAAAAATTAGAAGGCATAATGGCCAATGAAAAATTAAGATATGAAAATAATATAAAAAGCCAAGGTATGTGGCTCGAAAGATTAGCACACCAAGTCATGAAGATAATATGACTTTAGAAAATTTTCATAGGCCATTAATGTCTAAAAAATAAGAACCCTTTCTTTCAAAAAAATGTAAAAAATTCATCGCAAAATAATGGTGAAGATTCACTTGGGGGGCATAATTTTAAGCCAAAGATAGCTGAAAATTATAAATGTGGGGGGGCATGATTTTAAGCCAAACATGGCTGAAAATTATGAACAACCCACATTTGTTAAATTTGAATTTTTTAACATTTTAAATTTGTTAAAAGTTTTGATTTTTTAAAACCATTTAATATTATGGTTTCTGCTACCAAACCACTGCCATGGGTTTGTGGTTCACATCAAAAGTTAATTTTGATGAACTAGTTAACAAAAACATCTTATACTTGTAAGTTTAATGGAATAAAAAAAAAGGTCATATGATAGCTAATACTTGGCCAAACCAATAATGACCAACGGCCAAATGGTTATACTTTGCATGAAGGCCAATTTAAATGGCTAATTGTTTAGTGTCGACACATGCCGGTTTAATAGCCAATGACAAATTGGTTATACTTTGCATTGATAGAAGGCCAGCTAATCATTTTTGTTTATAATTTTTGTTTTAAAATTTGAAATAGGGCTAAATGTTAGAAGTGTAAGCATATGCCATGCTTCAGTAAATACAAAAAGGCTCAAACTACACCATTTATGGGTAGTGTAAAGCAATAGAAAATACTAGTGATGTAAATCAGGCGGGGCATTGTTTGTGCCATAAAATATTTTCTGTCGATTGTGATAAATCGTCTTATAAGTCATGTAATTGGATTTCATTCTTTAATCCATTTAAATGAGGGGGGCATTGTTTGCACCACATCTTATGTTTCTATCGATTGTGACCTATTAGTTGTGATCCATTAGTTATGGCGAAGTTCAATTATGGTATGTCGATTGAAATTATGAACTATTTTCAAAGAATAATCTTGACCACATTTGCTTTTATTATTTCTATCGACAGGTATGCTGACATGGCGTGACAAGTATACTAGTAACGTGACATGGAAAAGATGATGATGTGGCTTGAAAAGATTAAATAAAACCTATAAAGATATTTGTTGAAATCAATTAGAAACCATATGCTAAAATCGAAGGGATCAATATCAAGTCAAAGCACAAAATCTGCAAATAGTTCCTATGAAGATATGAGATATGGTTGAGTAGCACAAAGATCAAAGAAGATCATAAATTGATAGCTACAACATGAGGTGGCCAAACAAGTATAAATGAGGACTTGAAGAATGAAAATAGGACATGTCAATTATCAAAAACACTCGCAAAGAGTCTATCTAGAAGTAGTTTAACTTAGCATTTTAGGAGTAGATTAAAGCTAATAGATTTTTCCAACCCCTACTTCTCTTCTTTTCTTCTATCGATTGCTGTATTTCTTTAATCCTTTGTTCTTGTTTAAGTTCTTGTAACTAGTGACAAGCGACAATTCATTCAAATTAATGCATATTGTTTTTTGTTCTATCTTTTCTTTGCCTAATTACCTCTAAGAAAGTCCTTAATCTATTTAAAGCATAAAACTCAACCACAAAGCTTGATTTTTATTTGTGTTTACCAAAAGATTGGTTTAAATCTATCAGTCAAATCATTGTTGATTAGGTTTGAACTAGATTTTTACCAACACCCCCTCATAATTATAAAGTTCTATATGAATAAAAAAATTTGTTATTTGAATATTTTATATGACCATTATACCCTCTCTTTCTTTTCTTTCTTTTACAACACACACACACACTCTCTCTCTCTCTTTCTCTCCAACTAACTCGACAGTTATTCATCGTCTCCTCTATTTTCATCGTTTATTGGCATTGTGCATCCTCATTGTTGGTCGACAACCACCATTTTTACCGTCACATTACCACCATCCTAGATTTAATACCTACGAACTCATATTTGAAACCAATAATTTCAGATATGAGATATTAAAAATAAATAAACTTAGATTTGACAGAAAATGAGAAATCAAGATATTGCAATGAAAAATCAAGTATTTTTTGTTTGTTTGTTCATAAATCTAAGAGTAAAATTTGATTCTGATTTGTTCATTTAGTATGTACTCTGTTTTTTGTAAAAACAAGCTGCGATGATGACTTTACAAGAGAGTGTTATGTCATGAACCAGAGAAAAATTTTACTATTCGAAAAACAAAGCATCATGAGAAAAAGTTCAAAAACAGAAGATCGTGAGAAAGAAAAAGAAGAAAAAACAAAAAGGGATAGAGAGAGAGAGAGCATAAATGATGAGTCACACACACACAGAGAAAGAGAACACGAACCATCAGAACCAGAGAGAGAGAGAGTGAAAGATCTCAAATCTAAGGTTTGCGAACCGTCACAAACCGTCATTTTCCAACGACGACTGTGAATGATCTCAGATTTTAAGTTGTGGATGCAACAAATAACGGTAGCGATGAAAATGATAGAGAAAGAGTTTCACAATGAGCAGCGGTTGCACCGATATAAAGTGGCGATGGCACCGATAGAGAGCAACAATGATAAGAGCAAGACACAGAGAAGAGAGTGTGATTGCAATCTGATACACATACAAACACACACACACACACACATATGAGGATATTATAGTAAAATAAATAAATTTTAAAATACTAACAGATTTTGAAATAATCCATATAATTCTTGTCCTTTTAAAGGACAAGTTAAATATTGAGGTGTCTATCACCCAATCTCTCATATAATCTTTGTTGCTGGTTTTTTTAACAAAAAATAAAAGCAGAAACAGAGACAAATATATTTCCTGTTTAACTGGCAATGTTAGTCAAGGCAATTGAAGACCATACTCAAATCTGCACTACACCATTGTTAAGGCCAAGTTCGACATAATCTAAAAGAGTCAAAAAGTCACTATCCTATTTAAGTTACATCATCTTATTTAAATCACATCATCTCTCTACCGTATCACTTCAAACCCAACCCATATTTCACGTTTTTTTTCATAAAAAGTCAAAAAATACACTTATTTAGACCACCCCAAACAACCTCTAAATAAATAAAAAAAAGCATACACATGTTTGGCCAACATTTGACAACTAAACTAGAGAGAGAAACAAAATAATTACTGCCCTGAGAATTATAGTCGATCACTGTTTCTTTACAAAATTTAACTGTATTTAAAGATGAGGTGAACCATTTTCTTTTAAAAAAATGTAATAATAATAATGACTAAATAAAGGCATTGCTACAAAGCAACAAACCACCCCAATTGATTCTATTTTGTTCTCTCCACCTCTCAAATAGAAGATCTTCCTCTTTTTCAAGCTTAAGATACTTTGCCATGTCAAATTCTGACCTTTGGTGACTTCCAAGTTCTTTGGGTATGCTTCCGGTACCTTCTCTAGTACTTAGTGAAGAGCAATCCATTCCTGGGCTCCAACTCCACTGACTGCTAGTGGAATGACAACTTGGATCATGTGCTGAAATTTCTCCCTTTACAATCATGAGTTTATTCAGAATTAGAACAAAATAAATAAAGAGAGACAGAGAAATTCAAGGTAAACAAAATGCATGTATAGACTATGCTTTTGTCGATAATAGGGGACCCAAAAATACATAATAGTAAGCATTAGCCTCTATCTAAACCAAGCAACCACAAAAGTCAGTTTATAGTGCAATTATATTTCACCTCGTATATATGATTGTTGGACATGATACTCCAACCAGATTATTCTGTTGTTCCTACCTGATTCTAGATTGATTGCAAAAGTTGCTTACACATCATTGCATGTCTAAATGTTTTGTTATGAGCATTCCACAAACATAAATTATCATGCATTTATTTATATTAATTCTTTTTCGCTCAGTGTGTGTGCGCCATTATATGTAGGCACTTGGTCCCATTCTTGAATGGTCAATTGGTAATAGACAGGATGCTATCCTTGATGCCTGGTTTTTTGTGGGATTGATATCTTCATTCATTTTGAAAGGAAGAGAGATGAAACACAGTTTTGCGACAATGGATGAGAGTATTTATTTAGTGAGAAAAGCAACCACTTGACGTACTTTTTCCCTGCCTACAACCATATGGTTGTCTCCAGCCAACGCATATGGCAAAAGTATCCTGATGCACAGACGCAGGCCAAAAAAATTCCAAAGCTCAACAAGCATCCATCGAGTGATCCCAGTGTTTCAACTCAAGCTAAGATTCTGCTCATGAACATAATGGTATAAGCATGCTTGACTGTGAGACCGACTCTGGACTCCTCATACCCCGCCCCATCCTACTGACTTGCTGATGCAGGACGATTAGGGACAGCAAGGTGAGAGCTGTAATGATGAATTTCTGTGGTTTTTTTGTTATGGTTTCAAGATGGAAAGTAATGGGAAATTTAGGGCTTCTATTAGTGTAAGGAAGAATTAGGTTTAGGGCTTAATGTAACAAGAAGAAGGAATGGTTTTTGGGACTGTTCTGGGTGCTGTGAACAGTACCCGTGAACAGTAATTAGGCTGTGGAAGTGCTTAAATTTAAGAAAGAAATAAAGGCAAATAAAAAGATAGGTCTAGGCATCGCATCAAGATTCCATAGATACCACACCTAGGATTAGAGTTGCATCACACAAACCCAAAGAGGCTTCAAAGCTCTCAAAATTCTTTAAAATATCAACTCCATAGAAGCATTATATGACTTGATATAGACTTGAGACTTCCCAACCAATTATAACCAAAAAAAGAAACTACTAAAATATCTTGGACTTCTAAAATCAATTTAAAATTAAATAAGAATATTAATAAAACCCAATTAAATAACTTGACCCACAAGACGACCAATGAGCAACCCCTACAACCCATATCAGCAAATATGAAATTTACCAAAATACCCTTGACCTAAATCCTAGAAAATATAAATTAATCATAAAATAAGACTCTGATAATACTAGAAACATGATTACGAATGGTTCCTATCAGTTTTTCTTTGCAATCATGCCAATTTCCAAATATTGCCACTTCTTTGAATTCATCACTTACCCTCCTCGACTACCACAACCTATATCCACAACATACAACCACAATGCATTCTTAGTTGTAAGTCATCCGTTACGATGACATAAAACCCATGAATAATAGCCTAAATGGGTTTCACATTGTTGCAAAAAAAAGTGCAGAACATGGTTCTGTAGCAAATCTAATCACCTAACTAATATTTCAAGCAACCAAAAAGAGATGGTCAAAATCTAAGAATTTAATCAGAGGAAAAAAATGCAAATTAATTTGAGCAATATTGAATTGATGACCTGAAATTCCCTATTGACGGGTGATGCAAAAAACTGATGAAACTATATCCTATAAATAATGTTGGTTGAGTGAAACACATTTTTTTCTATAATCAAGGTTTTAAAAACCAGTATGGAGTTTAAAGCCTTTCAATAAGTGGAGATGGCAGTAGACTCGAAGAATTATTTACTTCTCCAAAAAAAGGGTGAAGTAAATTAGAATTTCCTTAAATTGATCTTGTGGCACCAACAGGGCTATCTATGAACAGTGCACTAGATGAAGATCATCATAATTTATCTTCAAATTATTTCTCATCCTTTTTGCTAATTATGTTTGTTAATAGGCATTTTGATATCAGCATGATGCCACAGGTCAACCCAGTTACTTGGGTCGTTGGACAGCTGAAGGGTTGGCAGACAGTTTGGGTTGAATACATTGGCAAGTAAGCAACATTTTATTACACAGCTCAATAGCATTGACTTCAAGCAAATACAAACATAAATTATTGTAACCACATCATGTTTGCCTATATAAATGCTATTTGAACAATTTTGTAAAACAATTAAAACTCAAATGACACATGACCAAACAATTGAGAAAAGTAGTCTGAAAACTGCATGTACCAACTTAAACTTTTCACTTTTAAGATACGCATGAGTAAAGATTGTAAAGTCTGTTTATTTTCCCCTTTCAATGTTCTATATGCTATCAAATTTCAACCTATAAAATCTAAAGTTCTATTCAGCTGAAAAAATCTTGTTTAAAAATTTATCAACTTTAATTTAAAATCTAAATAGTTGATGTTGTATAATTCTTATCGCAAGGACAAAAGGCAACTAATTTCTTATAAACCAGTGATGCAGACAACTTACAACTAAATGAAAGTATTGTAACCCAGTGAAGCAGTCAACTTACAACTAAATGAAAGTATGTTCTGTGCAAATAACTTCTTAGTCAGCAAAGGTTAGGACCGCAATTTATGAATTAAAATATTACAACTAAGTGACAGTTTGAAGGTTACCTGATTTGCATCCCACAAGATACTTTTTGGAGTCACAGGAAGCTCTCTCTTATTCTTGGATGGAAGAGGGGAACCATCATTAGTGGTCTCCCACTGCAACCAAGGCAGAATAACACCATCCATTTCAACAGGAAGAGAATTAGATCCTGCTGTACTATGAAATGTTTCTGTTTCCCTAGAATGTGACACTGCATCTCTAGTCTTTGTTACTCCTAAAGTAGAACTTGCATCACTTCTTTCTCCATCAAATGAAGAAATATCTGTATCTTCAACATTTGAAATGAAGTCCTCAAAATATTTCTCTGCCTCTTCAGTCAATCGTTTAGACACCTTGTTTCTGTCATTACTCTGGAAAATTGTAGAAGCATTGAAGTTAATAGAACACTTTAACATCACTACTCTCAGCAAGGACTAAAGTCAGATCCTGCAGTTTACACATATGGAGATTGAGAACCATACCTTTCTGGCCCGGGATGGTTTATCCACAATTGTAGAGCTCTTTGGATCAGGAAGCAATTCTTTCACAATTTTAGACAGTTCCCTACCACGTTGCTCCTCCAAAACTATCTCAGCTAAGAGATCTTGTTTATGCTTTTCTGACTGGAAAATTCATGGAAACTCAACATTTCACTACTTCAAGTTCTTAAAAAGCACAAAATAACAACATATCTTTCAAAGTTTGCTCATCTGTCAATTGCTTCAATATTCTGGAAACTCACATGAAGCTGTCAATAACAAACCGTCCCTCATTCACCTAGTTTCACAAGATGGTGCTTAAAGGGTGACTAAAATTTATTATGTTATGTTTGTTTATCATCATTTCATGAAAAGCAATGTTAGCAATATATTATGTTTAAGGTCATTTGTCAAAAACATATCTCTTACACAATAGCATTTTGCAGGCAAACAAATTTTGTGATGCTTGAGCTCCCGTAGATCAGTGTAATCAAATGCACATTGAGGCATGAGGTGCACCCAAGGCACATCAACACCCATGAGGTGAGGCGAGGCGACTTTAATGAAGCATGGCCGAGGCACTCAAGGCGTGTGAAGTGCCAGGCACAACGAGTTGTGAGCCTTTTTCAATTGTGCCTAATTTGTCAAAGATGCAATATCAACCCATCAATCTAATGAATCCAATTATGATCGTATATATTGCTCACATCCTATCAAAACCCCTTAATAAATATATAGTCTCAACTCTAGAGGCTTACACATCAATTTTTTTTTTTTTACTTTTTCTCCCCTCTAGGCAATGACAACAGCCAAATAATAATTTGCAATCTAAGTTATTAAATGATTTAATTGGTTCTTTTATTTTCTTAATCATTTAAACATTTAATTGCTTAATTACTTGCATAATTGCGTTATTCTATAAATGTTTAACTACTTTAATTGTTTGATGCGAATATACTTTATTTAAAATTGTTGATGTGGTGCACATTTTTAAGCACAATGTAACGTGCCTGAGGGTAATAATAACCAAACCAAGCCAAGCCTTAAGTCCAATCAAATGAGGTCGGCTACATAAATCCTTCTTCTTCACTCAACTCTATTAAAGGTCATTTCGTTAGTTAAAATAAAGAGATTCATATCTCTATTTACTACACTAGCCACGTCAATCTAGGTCTACCCCTTCCCTTAACACTTCCATTTACTGTCACTGTATTGCATCTTTTCACTACTGTCTCTGCTGATCTCCGTTATATATAACCAAACCATCTCAATCTATTCTCTCTTAGCTCATCCTCTATCGGTTCTACTCATACTCATTCACAAATAGACTAATTTCTAACTCTGTCTTTTCTAATCTTACCACACATCCACCTTAGCATCCTCATCTTAGTAACACTCCTCTTATCTACATGTTGTCTCTTAGTTGCCCAACATTCCGTCCCATACAACATCACTAGTCTAATAACTATTCTATAGAACTTTCCTTTTAGTCTAGTGGATACTCGTTTATTGCTCAGTACCCCAGATGCACTCCTCCAATTAAACCACCCCGCTTTAATTCTATGGATCACATCTGCTTCTATCTCCCTAACCGCCGTGATAATCAATCCTATATAACGAAAATATTCACCCTTAAGTAGTTCTTGATTCTCAATCTTCACTTCTCTTATGTTTCCATTGTTACTGCTACTAAAATTACACTTTACATATTTTGTATTAGTTCTGCTTATCCAAAATCCTTTAGATTCAATGGCTTCTTTCCAAGTCTCCAACTTAGTGTTAACTCCTTGTTTACTCATATCCACTAACACGATATCATTTGCTAAAAGCACACCATGGCACATCATCTTGAATATTTTTCGTCTAGCTCATCCATAACTAAAACAAAAAAATAAGGACTTAAGGTTGATCATTGGTGTAACCCCACAGTAATTGAAAATTCACTTATCTCTCCAGCCGACGATCTAATAGTGATCACCACACCTTCATACATATCCCTAATCACATCAATGCAGCATTTTATCACCCGTTTCTTCTCTAACACTCACCAGATTATAACCCGATGCATTCTATCATATGCTTTCTCAAGATCAATAAAAACCATATGAATGTCTCTTTTCTTCTCTATATTTTTCTATTACTCTCCTCAAAAGATAGATCACTTCCATTGTTGACCTACTAGGCATAAATCCAAATTGATTCTCTGACACCTCTGTTATATCTCGCAATTGACGTTCCATTACTCTCTGCCACACTTTCATTATATGACACATCAGCTTGATTTCTCTATAATTGTTGCAATTCTGGACATCCTCCTTTATTCATATAGATTGGCACTAAAATAATCTTCCTCCACTCCTCTGGCATTTTCTCAATTAACAAAATCTTACTAAATAACCTAGTCAACCAAGCAACCCTCTTCTTACCCAAACATTTCCAAGCTTCAATAGGGATATTATCGGGTCCTAATGCCTTATTCGATTTCATCTTCTTAAGTACAATCTCCACTTCAAAATTCCTAATCCTACAATAGAACATGTAGTCTTGGTTTTCCTTATTACTAGTTACTTCCTCCATGTTCCTTATTTAACTTCTCAAAATAGTTCTTCCACCTCTCCTTAATTTCTTCATCCTTCACCAATACCTTAGAGTCCACACTCTTGATGCTCTTAACCAAATTAAAATCTCTTATTTTCCTCTCTTTTATCTTAGCAAGTTTGTATATTTTCTTCTCTCCCTCCTTACTATCTAATCTAGTGTATAAGTCATCATAGGCTTTTCACTTAGCCTCTCTCACTACTTTTTTGACCTCCTTATTAGCCAATCTATAACTCTCAAGGTTTTTCTCAATTCTATCATTCTACCACTTTTTAAAGCACTCTTTTTTCGTCTTTACTACCGCTTGAACCTCCTCTCTCCATCACCAAGTTTCCTTAGAGGTGGATCCCTTTCCTTTAGACTCTCCAAGGACTTCCCTTGAGATTCTCCTCGTACAATTGGTCATTGATATCCATATAATGTTAGCATCATCTTCTATATCACAAGTACGTTCTTCAACCATTTTATTTTTAAATATTTCTAATTTATCCCCTTTTAGGTCCCACCATCTCGTCCTGCAACGCCCACTATACTTCCTAATTTGGTATTGCCCTTTAAAGCATAAATCTAGTACCAAAATCCTATATGAGACGTCAGGCTCTCTCCAGGAATCACTAAACAGTTGTTGCATTTTAGACAGACCACTTTTCTTACTAGAAAGTAATCTATTTGGCTTCTAATTAAGAAAGTAATCTATTTAGCTTTTAATTGACCCACTCTTAAAGGTTATCTATTTGGCTGCTAATTGACTTACTCCTAAAGGTGATCAAATGTTCCTTTCTTTTCTTATATATAGTATTGGCCACGACCAGTTCAGAAGCCAACGCAAAATCTAAAATACTCTATCCAGCCTCATTTCTATCACCAAAATCATACCCATCATGCCCCATCTCATGACCTAATTTATCTATTCCTACATGGCCGTTGAAATCTCCACTTATAACAAGATTCTCTCCTACGGATATCTCCTGTAATACCTCATCCATTTGGTCCCAAAATTCTCTCTTAGTCTAATCAACTAATCTTGCTTGGGGGAAATATGCACTAATAACGTTCACTATATTTTCTCCAATAACTAGTTTAACTAATATAATCCAATCACCTTTCCTAATGACTACAACTACATTTTCTACAAGACCCTTATCAACTATTATTCCTACCCATTCCTATGTCTATCCTTGCAACTATAATATAGTTTAAACCATGTATTTTTAACAAAAATGAAACCAAACTTTACCTGAGAATTAAAAATACTTCATAATTATCATTTTAGCAACCCAAAAAAAAAAAAAATAGAAGCAACGAAAAGAAAAAAAAAGGTCTTTCTCACAATACCATACCCAAGAAGAATATACACAAATGAATACCCTCCTTTACTAGCAATGGCTATCAAATTTAACAGACGGCAAAATAAAAAACTTCAAACATTTGACAGGGCCCTCAAACTCTCCAAGATCACCAACCAAACCATCAAGTTATTACAACATTTCTACAATATAAACGTATAATTATCATAAGCTATTCTATATTCTCCCACGAAACTTTTAGTTTCTTTGAGATATGCAGTTCACAGACAATAATAATTTCCACATACAAATCAATATATATATAAACATTACCTCAAGAGATGACAATTCTTTGAAGAGAAAAATTATATTTGACAACACACCTGTTCTAATTTCGTTGAGTAATTTTTTCTGATTGTAGAAACAGCTTGAAGAACATCTGAGTTGTCTGACTGCAAACGATTGCCACTTGCTAAAGCAGAGGTTTTTCTATCCATGGCCTGTATAAGTTGAAAAGAAACCCCAAAAAGTTTCAGCAAATAGCATACACTACCGTAAATGTTAAGGAAACATATCAATGATTTGAAAGCAGGTTTACAAAATTCTAAATTACAACAGACTTGTTCAAGTTGCATCCTGATTTCATCAACAGCATATCTAAGTTCTTTCCGCATTGCTTCATACAACCCACTATCCACATCATCCCCAGAAGGATGTTCTGCCTGGAAGGCAACCAAAGATAACATGAAGTGACATGTGAAAAGAATAGAACAGAGAGATTGTTCACTAACAAATTAATTATTACTTTCTACGAATCAACCAACCTTTTCCTGCGCATAAACTGCCCGAATTGTCTTCTCAATCATATTTTTACTAGAATGACCATCTCTTGCTTCATCATCAGTTAGTGCAGAAGACTGACTCTGAAAGGTCCAGAGCATTACATAAAAATTGGTTTAGTCTTCATTTGTTGTGTCTTTGGAAAGGTCCAAAGCATAGTATAATAAAGTTATCATGAACTTTCAACTCAATCATCAAACTTGATCTGCTAATCAAATTTCAATGATCTATATCACTCCATCATCAACTAAGTAATTAGAAAAGTGGAGTCCTGCATGTGGACTCTTTCATGAACAAGAGATGAAGAACTCTTACCGAGTAGCCATCATGGTTTTTTGATAGATCTTTTTGGCTGGGAGACCTTCCCAGCCATCGATGACTTGAAACTGTTGGCTTCTGCAATGAAGGCATCTGGCTATTTCCACCATCGAAACTCTTCATATTTGCATGTTTGCCAGAATTCTGAGAATGATCTATATCACTCTGTGATCAACAAAAATTTGATTTCGCTAAATAAAACAAGACAAAATTTGTTCCTAGTTTAAGATAGCACAGGAAAAAGAAAAGAAAAGAAAAAGAAACACTGAGTCTATGATGACACTTCAAAACAAGTGACGTAGCTATGCCAGACAAGTGGACATAGCGGGGGACACGTATGGCACACCACGTGGCGTGTGCCCTTATTTAATTTATTTTTTTCAAGAGACACGCTACGGACATGCCAACTTGTCTATTCTCCCATTTTCTTTAGTGCTTTTGATGAATGTTCAATGTTGAATGTTTATTACTCTTTTCTTAGATTTAAATACTAAATAGATCATCTAAAAAATATATATATAAACGATAAGTGTTAATTTAAAAGGGTTATTTTTAAATATAGAATTAGTGTTGGTTTTTGTTAATTTTGATTGGTTGTGAATATAATACTAATTTGCAGCAAATAAAAATATGTGGAAAAATATTTTATTGATGTGTACCCATTTTTTTAAATCAAGTGTCCGGTGCTTGTGTGTCCACCATGTTCATGCTTCTTAGCAATGAGAGCTTATCATATTCCAAGTAACACAACCACTACTAAAACAAGAAGCCACGGACACACATTGAACAAGTGTCCAAATGTGTCCTAGACACTAATAAAACACATTGCAAGTATAAAAATATAAATAAAATAAATAAAAAGTGGGGATCTAATTTTATTTTTTTATTTTTTTAATAAAATAAGTGAATTTATGTTGATTTTGGCTCGAAGTTTCTGCTCTTCACTACTCGAGCGGTGGTGGGCTCCACTTGAGCGGAACCTTTGACGCAAGTCCACAAGTTCTGCTCTCTACTCCTCCATAGATGATGGTTTTGGCAGTAGATGTGCTTTAACATGGTTACACTTCGTGTTTGGACTTCCCAAAGTCAGGTTGGACATGATTTTGAGTCCTTTTTGGAATGGATTTGTGGAATACTTACTTGGACTTCATTTTGAACTTCATAAAATTTTGTTTTAGATGTTTCCTTCTTGGTTTTGGACTTCGTGTAAGGAAACTATTAGTAAAATTTCTTGTTAGGCGTAGATCGACAGAACCTAGACTTCAAATCTTACCAAACAACAAAGGTAAACTAAGCGATTGTGTTGTAGGTTCAATGCCTTGAAAGGTTCAAGGACTTCTTTAGAGTGAAAGGCAGGGAAATATAAGATGAAGCTATAATCTCCAAAGTTTAACAGGATGAAGTTAAAATTACCAGACTACTCCTAAGAACACTACTCCTATGCTACTCTATGCTACGCTAGTTTGGTGTAATGTTGATTGTTGTCCCTTTCTCCTTGTGTCCCGTTGTCCTTTTATAGCTTTTCAGCTGGTGATCCACATCTACTGAATGACCTCCTCTTTTGTAGCCATTTTCCATGTTTTTCTCTGATTATAGCTGATCATGGTCCCCTCTTTGCTTAAGAGATTGCCATCTGTCATCCCACTATCTCTTGGTGTAACCTCCTCTCTATAGCCACCTTCTTTATGCACCTTGTGTTGATGTCATCATCAGAATCCACTATCACTATTACCCTGCTTCGTTGCCACTTGTCCTTTCCACTAACTTCCAACTTTGACTTAGATTAATTTTAGGAAGGATTCTTAGACTATATGAAAACACTCTCTCCCTTGATGATTTTTAGTCACTTGGTGATCCTTTTTTTTTCTTATCAAGTGATCTTCACAAGTTTCTTGGTGGCCTCTTAGAGATCTTGGTGAGAGGTATCTCTTCTCCTTAATGAGTTAGAGATCATTGTTTCTTGTTGGATGGTCTTCATAGGATTCTTCATGACCTCTTGGAGTTATTACTGAATGTTATCTATTATTCTCAGCAAGTTAGAGAGCTTGTGTATTGTTTGAATCCTTATTTATCTTTTGTTTGGGATGTTTGATTATATTAGTTAGATCCTTTGTCTCTTTGAAAGAATTGTTCCTTGGTGTTTCTTGATTAAAACTAAGGCCTCGTTTGGCAACTTTTAGTTTTAGATTAAAAGTTAAAAAGTCACTATAAGTTGTCACATCATTCTCTATATTTTCTGCACACATTTTCGTAAAAAACCAAAAAATTATTAAAATAGCACGTTTCCCAACGAAACCTAAGACTTTACTAGGCTTGTATAGAGAGCTTTTTGGTAAAGATGATTTTGAGGGAACTTGTATTTGGGTTTAGTGAATTTGGGTATTTGTGAGAGTTCTTTGTCACCGTTGTTCTCTTTGTGATTTGTTTCTCCTCCCTTAGTCATTTTAATTTTAGGAATTTTAAACCCAGAACTTGTAATTTCTAATTTGTTTATGGACAGAACTTATTAACAATAATTCAATACTCAATCTCGAGTAATAAACATTTACCCAATTTAGAGTAAATAATTTTCCCACTTCCCACTTCTCGTTCGTGTAATTTTTCCTAAAAAATATGACAAGTGTAGCATTATTTGCTCAAATTAAAGTGAACTACATGTTTATGTATCTTAGGTTTCACATTCATGTAAAAAATAAAAAATAAAATAAAAAAAAATTAATTTACCCTACTCCTATAGACTTAGTAGTTGTTTGGGATATGCTATATAAATTCACCTTTTGACTTTTTGCTTAAAAAATTAGAGAAAAAAAAAATGTAAGTTTGGGATTATTTTTTGATTTTTTACGAAAAGATGTGTAATAAAATATTATAATAAAATCAAAATGATCATTTTATCTTTTTGACTTTTTGACTTTTGAATAGTTGAATTTAAAAGACAAAATAATAATTTTGTCCTAGTGACTTCCCCCACCCCCACAAGATATCTGAATAGTATAAACTTTTTAACTTTTTTTAATAATTTTTTTGACTTTTTAATTTATCCTAAACAAGGCCTAAATAAGCAATATGAAAAGGAAAAGTATCATGAAGTGCATTTATATAATACCTAACCTACCAACAAATTAATTTATTAACAAACAAACCTCAGTACAGGTTTTAAAAAAAATGAAATTCAGGTTGTTAATTTTCTGGATTCGATTTTTTAAAAATTGAATTTTTTATTTTTCTAATTTTTATTTTTATTGTACCAAACCAAGTTTTAAAAAAAATAAGAATAAAATCGGAAATTTTAACCAAATAAAGAATAAGATTATGAGGCCGTCTCGTTATTTTGGCTATATTTTTTTTTTATTCATTAAAAAAAAGAAGAAGTTGGCTTTGGAAAGTATTTGCTTTGGATTTGGTGAAAGCAAGAGAGTGATCTGAAAAAGTAAAACCATTAAAAAATCGGATGCAAGGTCCTGCTCTGTTTACTCCCTGTCGTGCTTGCTGTGTGCCTCGAAATGGCACCGTTTTATCATTTGTTTTTTTTTTGAAATTTATATGTAAGGTTTTCATTGACTCTTTAATACCTTACCAGCTACCGCCATTTCTAACAATCCAAGCAAAAGTCTATAGCGATCTCAGGTTTACCCTTGTTGTACAGTGATCCGGACATGTGTCCGTGGATGTTGGTTGTTGTTTATTATCATGTTTGCATCCTTTGTAATAGCCCCAAATACTAAAAAAGTCAAATAATCTCAAATAGTACCCTACACCAATGATTTATAATTTAAAAAAAAATTAAAAAAAATATTTTAAAATTTTAAAAATATTTACTAAGAATAAAAATAAAAAAGAAAAAAAGGGACTTTTTTTTTGAAAAGTTAAAAAATTATTAAAAAAATTAAAAAGTCAACAACTTATAAAAAAAAATAACAAATTTCTCTACCTCTTTATTTTTATACATTTTTTTATAAAAAATTAAAAAAAATTCAAAATATATTAATTTTTTTACATTATATTTTAACTAAAATATTAAAAAATTATTCCCAAAGGAGGGCTCAATTTCCAAAAAAATTAAATTGAGAAAACTAAATCAAACGCACCAAACAATTTTTTGGGAAGGGTGAAAATCCAAACCAAAGAAGCTGTACCTCAGAATCACTAGTCTGACTTGGAACCAGAGAAACAGAGCGCTTTCGTCTGGAATTAGCATCGGAAGTAGTCTTCCCACGACCAGAAACTCTATCAACTTGGGAGGTTTGTCTGGACACCGACCTTCCACGCCTTAGCGGTGACGATGAAATCGTGGCAGTGGTTGCAGGACTAATTTCAGAACAACGAGACGAACGTCCTCTCTCCTTCTGGTTCTGGTTCTGGGTCGAGTGATTTCGTGGAAAGAAGTCAATAGCGAGATCGTGTAGGAGGGTGATTTCGGGGAAGGCCGATCCTCTGACCGTATTCACGAAACTTCGTCCCCTCAAGTCGGAAGGGCAGCGGCTAAGACTTCTGGACCTGCGGTGAGCCCTGTTAGATGAACCACCAGACTTCTCCTCTCCGTTCGAATTCGATCCGATTGGACTTCTCTTCGACGTTGATTTGAATGCCGACGTCGCCATCACCACCACAATAACGACGCTGCTGACTATATCTCTTTCAAATTTGTTTTCATTGAGAGAGAGAGAGAGAGAGAGAGAGAGAGGGTGTGTGTGTGTGTTTGTGTATGTGAATCAGAAAGAGACAGAATTAATGTTGCAGGTGATTCGTGAAGAAGGGTTTGGCGGAGTGAGAGAAAATTGTTGTGGGAGTTTTGGAAATGGAAATATGCCTAGAAAGACAAGACGTCTACACGGGTTACTGCTGCTGCCCCTGCTTCACATTAATAATAATAAAAAAAAAAAAAGGGTAAATTATAAATATATTATTCAGATTTATTTAAAATACAGATTATTTCTGCTAATTTCAAAAATTATAAATACATTTTTATTAGAATTTTTTATTTAACAGAATTAATTAAAAAAATAAAATTTCTAATTGCACTGTTATAGAATAATAAAATTACCTAAATTAGTAATTGAAATAAATTTTTAATATTATTAAAAATTATTAATTAACTTGATAATTTATTAATAAAAATGCTCATTTGTTATGAAATTATAAACTTTAATGAGTGAGATGTAATTTCTAGAATTACAGGAGATAATTTGTATTTTAAACAAAGTTATGTTAGGGATTCCAAATAAATTACGAAGCCTTCGTTTGGCAAGTTGGTTTTGAGGTTTTTTGGGCTAAAATAGCCACACACAAAAAAAATAGGTTTTTTAGCCCAATAAGACAAAACATCACATCCAACCCATAATCATTACATTTTTTCTCTTACAAAAAATTCAAAAAAGCCAAAAAAATCAAAAATCCTTCACAAACTAAGCTTTTTAACTCCAAGCTAAAATAGCCAAAAAAGTCAAAAAATCAACCCACTTCCCAAACATAGGCTAAATTTTCTATCAAACCTCTTAGATGGGTGTGGACTCACACACATGTGATTTGTGTGGGTCTTACACACATGTGAGAAATTTGGTAAAAATTTTAGTAATTTATTTAAGATCCATAGTATTTTCCTTTAAACATATCTCAAAAAATGTGTTTGTATTAATAAAATTTTTAAGACCTCTAGCATTTTTTTAAAAAAAAACTGCATAATTACTATTAACTACTTCTCCTACTCCCGCCTCATATTTAAATCAATTTTTTATAGGGCAATCGGCTCAAAAATATAATTTGAAATTTTGTTTGGCAAGAAGTCCAAGCGCTGAATTAATTTGTCCATAAGGACAAGGTTAAGTTAAAAGTTTAAGTTAAATGACTAAAATACCCTATTTAAGGACAAGTTTAAGTTAAATAACTAAAATACCCTATTCATATATTATATAAGAGGTGTTTGGCAAAGGCTTTTTTTTAACTTTTTGGACTAAAATTTACAAATGACAAAATAGACTACAATAGTCAATCAGACAAAATGTCACATTAAATTCATAATCATTTTATTTTTTCTCTCACAAATATTACATCCAATTACAAAAAAATCCAACTATCCTTCCAAATACAAAAAATTTAACCTACTAAAATAGTCAAAAACTAAAATAGCCTATTAAAATAGCAACTTCTCAAACACCCCCATGCACTGCCAAAAAATAAAAACCGCTCGTCTATGTCTCTCTCTGCTGCCAGCACTAAAGTAACAGCGGCAAGGTCCCGATTTGAGTTGGAAGGATATAGCCGCCACCGTCTCTCTCTCATCTCTCTTCTCTACTTTTCACCAACGATCTATCTATCAATGGTTCAGATTGTAGATCAGCCAATGAGAAGATCTTAATACGATGATATCGACATTGATTTGTCTCTGTGTCTCTATTTCTCCTACACTTCGCATCCCCACATCCGAATCATCGTCATCTTTCATCGGTCCCCGTCGTTGCTGTGACCTAGGGTTTCAACCTAGGGTTTTCTGGTGGTGCTAGTAACTGCACGAAATTGGCAACCAACTCGGTCGTTTGTCGTCGCTAAAGGATCTAACTTCACGGAGGGTCAGATCTGAGTGCTTTTGGTGGGACTCGACTCTGGCTCTTCCTTCCCCAGTTCATAGTTGTATATATTTTTAGGTAAATTACACTGACCCCCTGAAGTTTGGTCCAATTACATTTCACCCCTTGACGTTCTGGAAATTACGTTCCCACCCCTGTGGTTAATAGTCTCATTTCACAATCCCCCTTACTTATATAAAAGGCAACAACTCTTAGTAGAAAAACAGAAAAAATTACATTGAAAAAAAAAAAGTAAAGCAAAGCAAAGGAAAAAGGGAAAAAAAAGAAAAAAGAAACAGAGGAAGTAAAATAAAGCATGAAAAGAAAGAGGAGTGCATGAGTTTAATGTTTTCATTCCGTCTAAATAATTACAATGACAGGGGATTAGTGTAATTGTCCAAACGTCAGGGGGTGATATGTATCAAACCCAAATCTCAAGGGGTGTAAGTGTAATTTATCCTATATTTTTTATATATATGTATATTGTGTTTGTTTTCTAGATGTATATCTATCACAGTGTATAGATCTATACATATATATGTATCTATGTATATATCTGTGTTTGTTGAATTTAAATTTGTAATTAATTAATTATTTTGTATAGACCTGTAATTGTCTATAATTATCTCTCTGTGTGTATATGTGTGTGTTTGTGTTTGAATTCAAGAAAATTAAAGAACTTGATGGAAATTAGGGTTTGATAGAATTTGATTTGATAATTGTCTATGGTTATCTTTGTGTGTATATGTGTGTTTGTGTTTGAATTCAAGAAAATTAAAGAATTTGATGAAATTAGGGTTTGGAATTAGGGTTTTGTGAGGCCCCTAAAAATTTTATTTTCTCGGAAGTTCCTCACTTTTAAATTATTTCTTTGAAGTCCCTCAATTTTTTAATTAATTGTAATTTTAACTCTAGGATCAAAACACATGCGCCAACTGAAAACTCACAAACCCTAATTGTTACCCAAAAGACAACCTAAGAGGGGAGGTAAATTAGGTTTTTACAAATAAAAATAATAATACCCTAATAAAAATTATGACCGGCACAATAGATAAATATAGTTAATGAAATAAAAATAATTAAAACAAGTGTTCTAACAACTATGTCAGTTAATGATTTTAGCACAGTGAAAATGTGAAATATAGCTATGGCAATTTAAATAAAATAAAGAGATAAGAGAGAGAGAGGCAAACAAATTTATAGTGGTTTGGCTTCAACTCGGCCTACGTCCACTCCTCAAGCTTCACTTGAGATTTTTCACTATACTCTAGTTTCATAGGGTGCTAGCAACATTTTCACAGATGGAGCAATCCTCTACAGATTTTACACAGACTTTCTAAGTCAAGAACACTGAGTGTACTACACTCTTACAATGTTGAAAAGAATGTGTTTTTGCTTTCACAGAAAGCTGCAAGAATTATCTCTCAAAGATAGATATAAAAATGAAGCTCTGGTTTTTCTGTAAATCTCACACAGAAAAGATGGGCTTAAAGCTATACATCTCAGTGCATAATTTCTGAAAGAGGATGTAAACAAAAATTGAAGAACACTTCTCAGAGAATTTTTCAGAGAATAGATGTGAGTGATTATAGATTAAAGAATATTTTCTGGTATTTTTTTTTTTTGTAACTTGTTTACATTAGAGGCTTTGGTATATATAATGAAACTTATAGCCGTTTTATAACCGTTGTACTCCATCATTACTAATTTGAATATTTTTCACTTGAACATTTTGGCCTGCTGCTGTGCTAGGCTATTTGAACCTTTGGTTTGGGATGTTTGAACCTTTGGTTTGGGCATTATTTTGGGGTTGAAACGAACTCTTGATTTAAGCAAATATTAAACACATTTTAACAATATTTAGGATAAAAGTTTAGGTGAGAAATAATGGGACAAAATAAATTTTGATTTTATTTTTCTCTTTCAAATAAATTAAAACATAATTAAATAAATCATCAAAATAAATTTTGCAAGAAAAAAATAAAAATAATCCTCTCAAATCATAATCATGTGGCTGGCCATACACATATAGATGCACTAGGTGTACTTTTTGAAACAAATTTGCATGAATTAAGGAAAATATTTGACCTAGGTACAAACTTATACATACATATATATATATAAATGTATATCTGCATTGTACTTGTAACTAAGATAGTTTGATTAAGATAAAACCCTAACAAGATCATGCTTAGGTACTCAATTGAGGCCTCTAATCATTCACTATTCCATTGAATTCAAACTAAATCTAAAATATACAATCCAATTCCAACCAATGGGCAATTTGGACCTTTTACACCACTTTTATTATAGAAACCACCTCTTCCTTAGCATTTTGCACACAAAAACTCTTATACAACACCCCGTTCAGTTGAGAGGGAGAAAATGGAAGAGAGTGAGCTTAGTGGAAGAAATGAAAGAAAAAGAAGGTCTTGTTAGCTAACCGACCAAGCCTCAAGTAAGCCACGTCACCATTTCTCATTCTATTTCCTTTTTCAAATACATGTTAGGGGGACTTACGTGTAGGTCCTAGTAAGTGGACTTATTGTCCAATAGGTCCTATGATAATTAGTGATATTTTTCACTAAACACTATTAAAAAAAGTCACTAATTGTTAATTTTCAACGACAATATGAAAATTTTGTCACAAAAAATGCAACTAATTATAAGTTTTAGTGACAATTTAAAAAAATCGTCACAAAAAGTGTCACTAACTCACAACTTTTAGCGACAATTTAAAAAATTCGTCATAGAAAAATGTCACTAATTGTAAGTTTTAGTGACAATTTATAAAAATTATGACCAAAAAAAGTCACTAATTGTTAATTTTTAGCACAATTTATAAAAATTATGACCAAAAAAAGTCACTAATTGTTAATTTTTAGCAACATATGTAAAAAATCATCACAAGAAAATTATTTTTAGCGACGATTTTACCAAGACTTATTTTCAATAAGACTTGATAGGAATTTAGTCCAATTATTAGGACCTATTCGTAGTTTATCCTCAATGTTATTAGAGTCTTGAAATCATATTTTTAGATGTGTTTTAATGGTGTTCATGTGCTCAAAGTTGATGAATTGGGCTTTAATCCTTCTTCTATTTGTATTTTCTCTTAATAGATGCAAAACTATCTTTTTCTTTCCATATCTCACATTTTTTTTTTCAAAGGCATGCCATCACTTTAAAAATTTGAGTTATTGATACATTATTTAGTATGTTTTCATCACAAAAAAAAGTGAAAAATTCCCCTTAGTTGGCCTCTTTTCTCACAAATCTTCTT